ATCTAGGCCATAGAGACCCGTTAGCAAACCACGAAATTTAAGCTCTTTTAAATGATTGTGAATCATTTATAAGATCAAAATAGAGAACTCTTCATCATCGAGATTCGATCCAGATTCGTCAGGGTCTCTAGCAGCCTCTCTAACCTCAGGGCTACGGCGGACACAGCAATCTCTTCAGAAATTAATCATTTTATATGTGAACTTTTATAATGAAATTGTCAAAATTGTTTGCTAGCGTCCCCGGCAGAGGTTCGAACCTTATCTGATCATTTGCCGACCGAGCACTTTAACCACTGTGCTATCGAGACCACGAGGAAACATTGCAAATTTATCTATATAACCCTAAAACCATTCGAGTAAAGGTAACATCAAAATGAACTATGGTACCACATCCAGCTTTCGAACCCACTATGGATTACACCAAGACCTACCACTCTACCTACTGAGCCACGGTGACAGACGAGATCAGATGTTATTTTGTCTATATAATTAAAGCCTTTATTAAATATATAATAAAAATATTCTCGCGGTGGGAAGCGAACCCTTCAACTTAAAATCCAGCTGATACACTAGCTCTCCAATCGACTGAGCCACAGTGACATGCACGTTCGATGGTCAGATGACTAAACTAATATCTTGATCTTAGTTCTATACAAGGTAATATAGCTTTCTCTTTTGATTTAGACTTTAAATCTTAGCAATCTTTCAGCCAAGTGCGATGGCTCAGCCGGTTAATGTGTTCGTTCGTCTTTCATCATTGCGATGTGGGTTCGAGTCCACAAGAAGTCGACAAATGAAACAAGGTAAGTAAAAAAATTAAATTATTCTTAATATATATTACCCATACGCGCGCACACACACAATCACCTCACTACTAACATAAAAAAAACCGCATAAACATCAAAAACAAAAACCTGACAAATAAATAAAAAACACCAACATAAAAAAAAACTGTAAAAATTACTACCACATACACAAAACAACAAGCAAATAAATAAGCGGGTTTTGCACTTTTTATTCGTGAATATTTTAAACGTTTTAAAAAAATATGAAAAATAGAGCTAAAATATTATTGCTAAAAATGACATTTTTCCAGTCAAATGTGATGGGTAGATGATTTCCAAGTAGAATGATATTTCACCTTAAACTCATTGTATTTATTGTGCCACGGCACGTAATGTACGTGCAGATTATTGAACACTTGTTAATATTAATCACTTGATGCTAATTCTTATTGTTGGTAACCTTCCAAATAAACTAAGTCTATATACAATAGTTATGTAATGTCTTCTAGTAGATAATTTGAACTCTTGACCTCTACCCTCTGACCTCCTATGCGCACGTGCAAATAACTAGACCACAGTTAATTAACGCAACAGTCGGTTCAGTCCGATGAAGCGAAACAATATGGCGACCCGGGTTCGAACCCCGTGTAAAGGGTGGTTTCCTTTTGTTAAAATGCCTTGCCATATAAGATAAAGAAATTTTATTTTTACAAATTTAGGTGACGTAAGCAGACCAGACTGAACTATTTCGATGATAAAAATGACTATACTAATGTTTCTGAATGTAAAATAAATCAAAATAGTTTTGTTGAAAAATGTCTGCTAGAAGAGAGAATTGAACTCTTGACCTCTTACCTCTGACCTCACGGGCGCACAATGCAATCAACCAGACCACAATTAATCCACGCCGAAATAACTTAGTGATACGATATGACGACCCGGGTTCGGGCCTCACGTAATAAGCAGTTTCCTTTTGTTAAAGTGGTTTGCCACATAAATCCTATTTTTACACACCTGGGTGACATAAGCAGACTAGATTAAACCATTTCGGAGATAAAAATGGATGTACTAATGATTTTATATGTATAAGAAATCAAAATAGTTATTCAGCAAAATGTAAGCTTGGGGAGACTTGAACTCTTGACCTCTCACCTCTGTCCTGTGAGCACGTGCAACTAACAAGACCACAGTTAATTAACATCCCAGCGACTATGTCGGATTGTGTCTGATGAAACAATATGGCGACCCGGGTTCAAACCCCATGAAAAGGATGGTTTCCTTTTGTTAAAATGCCTTGCCATATAAGATAAAGAAAGCTTATTTTTACAAATTTAGGTGCCGTAAGCAGGCGAGGCTGAACCATTTCGATGATAAAAATGGCTGTGCTAATGTTCTTGAATGTAAAATAAATCAAAATAATTTTGTAACAAAATGTCTACTAGAAGAAAGAAATTAAACTAGACCTCTCATCACGTTTGCACATTAGGTTACACAGGCGAGTTGTCGAAGTTGAACGATAGACCGTCGCGGGATCGCACCCTACGTGCGGTAGGGCTTACTTTTGTTAAAATGGCGTGACATATAAGATTAAGAAAGCTTATTTTTACAAATTTGGGAGATGCTACTAGACAAGACTGAGACATTTCGAAGATAAAAAATGGCTGTACTAATGTTTTTCAATGTAAAATAAATCCAAATTGTTTTGTAGCAAAATGTCAGCCTGAAGAGTCTTGAACTCTTGACCCCCTACCTCTGACCTCTTGTAGGCACGTGCAAACAACTAGACCACAGTTAATTACCCAAGGGCAGATTATCTAGCGAGGAATATTAATGCTGCAGACAACAAATAAGTAGCTCTTTTTTCACACAAACACCGGGGGAGACATGCCTCCATCCCTAGAATCCATTGCCAAGCATATAAAGATTCAATATTACTTACATTTTGACATCTTGAAATTCTTGTAGCTTCGAACTTTTAGATAGGTCCACAAACGAACTATAAACATGGAGATAATATGCTAGAAATATAAAAAAAAATGAGACCATTATTAATTTCTGACATTTTTATAAACAGGGGAGACAATATAACAGAAATTAAAAAAATGAGACCAATATTAACTTCTTAAATTAGCAGAAATAAAAGAAAAACTAGACCACTATTAATCTCTTAAATTTTTATAAAAAAAGGGAGATAATATACAACAAATGAAAAAAAATGAGACCATTATTAATTTCTGACATTTTTATAAACAGGGGAGGCAATATAACAGAAATTAAAAAATGAGACCAATATTAACTTCTTAAATTAGCAGAAATAAAAGAAAAACTAGACCACTATTAATTTCTTAAATTTTTATAAAAAAAAAGGGAGATAATATACAACAAATGAAAAATAAATTAGACCACTATTAATTTCTGATATTTTTTTCCTGGGTGAGGGGGGTTCTGAACTGCACTATATGCTTTAGTGTAGACCTTTAGTGTGTTATAGTCACCTTGCCCTAGTTGGCTTTTAGCCCTTTAGCCATCCTACAGATATTGGATAAATATAATGAAGGGGGGGGGGGGAGTTGCTTTGATGAACAACACCTCAAAGTTTTGGATACAGAAATTCAAAGGGTCAGGATAATCAAAGCTAACAGAATGACTGACATGTCAATTCAACCACTGTAAAATCCCAAAATGCATAAGTTTCAATAAAAATATTTTAATTGCATTTCAAATACCAAATAATTCAAATAATAATGAAAATACTCTCTCAAGTAACTGAGAATTCAATTGAAAGGTTGCAGTTCTTTAACTCAGTCTATAGATGTCATAGCGTAAAAAACTGAGTAACAACATGTTTCAGGTTCTGTTTTAATATTTGTACAATTGATCTATTGAGTACTAATTTTACAATGAAAATAAAAATATTTAAACAGAACATAAAAAGACATGTTGTTACTCAGAGCTTCACGATCTTCAGACAACTGACCTATATAATTCAGCCTGAAAATAAATTCAGTGAAAATATGTTGTAATAAGTCAACATAAATAAATACCAGGAAATACCTAGATGTCCAAAAATACTCATATACCTTTTTGAAATCAAGATCTGACAGTTCAAAATATAATGGAAATTATCCCTAAAAATATTCACCAAAAGAATAGCACTTAGATTTGTACGATATGTGAAATATGTCAAAAAATTTATATACAAAAATATATACATCTTAACTTATAATTTCTACAAAAATATACAATATTGAAATATAATGAATTGTATATACAAAAAAAAATAACATTTTATAACAAAACAATTCATAATATATCTATAAATGTTGCACGTTTGAATTGAAATGGGAAAGAGCTCAAAATTTTCACAAAATTTGCACCTCATAGTCAGTGTGATGCACCATAAGTAAGTTTTAGATGAAACAATGAAAATATCTAAAGTCAACCACCTTAGATTCTAGTGATCTTGTTCAAAAGACCAAATTCCCAAAGAAGTGAGTATTTTTTAAGGACAAAATTTCGAAAATACAAAACTCAATACAAACTAAATTACAAATACAAAATACAAAAAGATAGATTACAAATACAAAATATATTTAGACAAAATGTATTTACAAAAAAATGAGCACAACAAAATTCATCCTTGAAAACCCAGCGATGCTGCATTCAACATCATCATCTCTTTATTGGCATGATTTTGAGTTTGTCCCAGCCATCTTAGGTGGCGCTTGATTGGTTTGTTCTGAACAGGTTCCGTCTGTTCCTATTTTGGCTTAATCGTACTGTTCGAAACCCTGTTACAAATTGCAGACTGACTTCATGACTCACCAATCAAGCGCCCCCTCAGTTGGATTAAATAAGATGAAGTGTGGAATGCAGCATCAATGGGAACTCAAGGATGAACCAATATTTGAGAACATGAAAAATCACAGTAATTGTTAAGGCCATGGGCTTTTCTTCCAACAGAAAAACACTCGCAGCCTTTGCCCTTTAGTGTCGTTGGTAGATTTAAATAACAATATTGTAGCAGAACCAAAAACTTCAAAGGTTTCAAGAACACACCAAAAGAGAAACCAAGTTGTAAAGAGATTTTAAAGACCAATTTTCTTGGTTAATTTTGGAAAGCTGGAAGGTATAAATAAATGACGTCACAAAGGCTGCCAAAAATAAGGAACCAACTCAAAATGTACCTGATTCCCTCTCTTATTTTAATAATCATTATCTCCCAGAACCCCCTTCTGTTGGTTTACCATTATCAGTTAAGTTTTCAGTTGATGTTTTTCCGTTGTTGGAGGAAACAGATTCGCTTGTTGTATCAGGGGAGATGCGAATCTCTTCAATTGGAGGAGGTTTGTATAATTTTAGAGACAGGAAGAAAAAGATGGTGGACAGACACTTTAACGCCATTCCTAAAGCCAGCAGATTGTAGCTGAGTTGCTGGTTGTCGTAGAAGAAACAGCTGCCTTGTTCACCACACTTGTTCTGCCACACCAGGCACGTGAGATCGATCATTTTCCCAAATAATATTGGTCCAGGGATGGAGCCTGAAATTAGAATAGAATATAAGAAAGGTGGCTATTGCAGTCAAGGTATAAGACAATAGCTTAACATTAATTTATGTCCCTATGTCCTACGTTGGGGTATGTTCTACACCTTCTTGAGCAAATAAGTCCTCCTGTTCTGCATCTTTTCAGACTTACAGAATGAACGAATTAAAATATGGCCCACTGTCTTGCACTTTTTTGGCTTAAGAAATATCTTAAAACTGCCTGAAAAGTCACTGACCTAAGCATCTGGCTATAATCCATTGTATGCCTAAACTAAAAGATCTTTGATTTTCAGGAACACATCTGGAAAAATAGGAAAATTCAAATGTAGTTTGCCTCAGTGGTAGTTCCAACCTCCAGAAACTAGGGGTACAAATAGGCAGACTGACTTAATAATAACACAACTGTCCAGGTTGAGATTCAAAATGCGGCAGGTCTCTGGAAGCACCATTGGCAACAGCCTCCTTGGAGAGTCTCAGAGAGTTCTCTCATCCCCCCATGCAATTTGAAAAAATAGAATTCATTTGGTGCATTCTGACATATATTTTGGGGCAAGTGAGCCACTGAGCCACCGTGGCTCCAGCTGATGAAATGAAAAAGAAATTTTAAATTTGACTGATAAACAAGATAGAGAGTTGTAAAGTATAAAATTCCGACCTTAATGTCGCAGATAAAGCAGGCATTGTCGTTAAAAACGTCAAAAACATCACAACAGCAAATATTGGGGCAAAAAGTGGCAACCAAGGGCAATCACTCTCACATTTGCCACTGACTGCCATATATGGCTTGTCCACCGTGGTAGTGGCATTCATAATACATGAACAGTTTGTGTATTTCTGAAAAAAAAGTAGTAAATGCTAATAATGATGGTTCACAAGATGACCTTCCATTCCTTGAAGGAACTTCCTCAAAGAAGACAGCTCCATGGGAAAGGACGTCTGCCTTAGTAAGTTCCCTCTCTCCAAGAAAACCTTTCAAAAAGACAGCTCCTTGGGAAAGGATTCTTATTTAACTAAGTTCCCTCTCTCCAAGAAAACCTTTCAAAAAGACAGCTCCTTGGGAAAGGATTCTTATCTTACTAAGTTCTCCCTCTCCAAGAAAACCTTTCAAAAAGACAGCTCCTTGGAAAAGGATTCTTATCTAACTAAGTTCCCTCTCTCCAAGAAAACCTGTCAAAAAGACAGCATAGGAAAGGACTTTTGGTTTACTAAGCTCCTCTCTCCAAGATACCTTTCAAAATCTTGAAGAATGAAGAAGAGTTATGGATAGCGGAATTAAGAGTGACGTACCTTAGGATCACCTCCTAGACCAACCTCACAACCAGCGTAACACGGGGAGAAGTACATCTTACCGTCATTACCACAAACTGGGTTATAATTCTCATTGGTACACTTACACGGATCATTACATTGGCTGTTCAAATTACCTCCCAAAAATGATAGATCACTGAAAAATATAATACATATATACATAGAAATATCAAACCAGAATCTGAAACATGTTGTTGAAAAGAAATGAAATGAATGGAGTTTTATGTCATACTTTTCTGCACCTAATTGGGCTAATGAAGTCTGGCAAAGCCATTGCAGGACAGGATATTGGCATTAGGCAACTCTTTTTCAATTTCCAACTGTCCAGGGATTTTGAACATGCATGCCTCTTCACATGGGCCTTTGTTTAGTGTCCATTCCGTTAAGCTCATTGAGAGAAAGAGCCTTCTCAAGAATAACCGAGCGTAGAAAAGGTGCGCGTTATATTCACAATTATATGGTACCTGTCTGACACATTCACTGCATCATATTTAATATTCACACCAGAGAATGCCATGTTGTCACAATAGGTGAAGAAGACAAAGCTTGGTATCATTGAGAAGGCGGTGGTACATAAACAGAATTTGACTATAGTTCGAACTTTCCAGTTAAATTTTTTCACCAGGAAACCTCCAATTAATGTCCCACCACCACCAGCTGGTAGCAGAGCAAAACCTAGAAATAAAATCCAAGTATTAACGATCCAAACAGTATAAACGAAATATAAATATAACAGTTTGGCAATACATTGGCAGCTAATGAACTTTTCACATGAGGCAGTATATCAATCATAAGTGAGTAAGTATTTGCAGCATATTTTAGCTAGTGCCACAAATACCAATGAAAGCAATTAAGCACCTCACTGAATGGGAATCAACAGAAAGAATATTCTACATTTATATCTAATTCTTGACAGATGCTGGCCAGCTAGATTCTGAAAAACAACTTACCCATAATTTGTGCTGCCCATCCTGAAGAGAATGAAAACTGAGCTTCTATAAATTTTGGTGCAAATGTTGAAAAACCACTGAGTATAATACCTGAAATAGAATTTTTTTTAGATATTTTCTATTAAATTCCCTTGTTTATTTCATTATCTTCCAGTGGAGAGGAAAAGGTACACGATATCAAGCTCCTGTGGACAAATGGTCATTCCAACCAACATGAATGAGGATCCAGTATGTTGAGAAATAGGGATCAGTTCTCCGGCTTCCCACATTTGTCCACATGACTCCCCACTAGCGCCCTCTTAAATCCACACATTGGTGCCGTGGATGCTCAGATGACCTCCCAGTCCAGAAGTCCTCACCACACCAAGATGGACCTCAATGAACAGAAGTAACTAACCTTCACTAGCAGCAGCGAAATTCAAAAACATGAATGTAGGATTTGTGACAAGTAATTTGATGGAAAGTAGGATATCTTTTGGTCCTCGTTTTAATCCGACTTTCTGGCTTTCATCTGAGCCTTCTTTATGGTACACTTCATTTTTACGTTCGGCTCTATATTTAGCTGATCCTGGAACAGAGAAAAAGATTTTGGTGGTGAAAGTTTACACACAGAACTATTTGATCAGGAAATGACTATAAACTTGCTGACAAAACAGGTTTTGGATATCTTCTTTTGAATATATTTTGACACCAAAATACCCAAACATTAACTAAGACTCCTTGGTTTTCAAAAGAGATGCTCCTCTTTTCGTACTGATGCATCTTATGGATAGAACTCCATTATCAGAAGAGTTCATTTGGCAAAAAGTTTCCCGCTTCTTCCACCGAAACTTTAATTCAAATCCTAAATCAACTAGTCTAACTTTTTCAATGCCACAAAGAAGATGCAATATCCAATTTGTGTCTTCTACCATGCTGGATGACATTTGTCACATGATAAAGCCTAACGTACCTGGTAAGGATCTGGGGAATCCACCAAGAGGTATAGCAGTAAGGAAAGCCATAGTACCACTGATCAGAAATCCTAACCACCAGGCTCCCACCCATCTTGGGTTGTCTTTATCAATGGTTAGACTGAAAAATTCAATGTTATGTTAAAGGGATCTTGTCATGGAATTATTTGCCAGCTGGTCCTTGGCCAAACCCTTCGTCATTGATCCTTTCCTGGATTATCTGAACATAAAATTTTTTTGCTTTTCTGTTAATTACTTCTGTCCTAGCAGATGGAACATAATTCCAATTTACCTGTATCACTTTTCACAATTAGAATAAGACTTAAGGATAAAAAAAATTATAAAAAGTACCTTGCAGTATCAATAGCTCTGAAGTCTGTATAAATATTGAGTAATTCACCACCTACTAAATATCCTAAAGCTGGTCCCAATATAGCAAATGTATAAAATATACCTGAAACAGAAAATAACAAATCATACCTTAATTAGAAATAACAAATCATACCTAACATAGAAATAACAAATCATACCTAACATAGAAATAACAAATCATACCTAACATAGGAATAACAAATCATACCTAACATATAAATAACAAATCATACCTAACATAGAAATAACAAATCATACATTAATTAGAAAATAACAAATCATACCTAACATAGAAATAACAAATCATACCTAACATAGAAATAACAAATCATACATTAATTATAAAATAACAAATCATACCTAACATAGAAATAACAAATCATACCTAACATAGAAATAACAAAAAAACTATATCAAATCTTAGGTATGGAGCTGGTCTAAGGATAGCAATTGTATAGGCATATCACTCTGCGATCAAGGGCAATAACTTTGAAGGAGGTGAACCCAATTTTGCAAGTGCACTAGAGGGTAATTTTTCGACAAAAAGTATCTGCCGCAACCAAGGGAAATAACTCAGAACCATGGCAACAAGACCACATGAAAAGTATCTCCACTTACCAACATAAAATGATGAAGACCGTTGAGGTAGATTCTCATCAAGGTAGGTAACTCCTAAAGTATACAAGGGGGCAGCACCTGCTCCATGGAGTAACTGACCGAGAAAAAACAGGTACTTGAAATCGGAAAGACTTGATAACGATTGGCCCACGACACAAGTAGAATTGGTGAATCCATTACAAGTGTCTTCATAAGCTCCGTCCACAACGTAAGTATCCGTCGCGAAGTGGGGTATCGTGAACACAAACGATCCCAGTCCTAGCACCAACACACCTATTCCTAAATAGCGTGGCTTGACCCCTTGACCTCCGAAGTAGGTGACGGGAATGAGCAGTAAGACGGATGCAATATCGTAACATGATGCAATGGTGCCTGATTCCGTAGAGCTGATAGAAAATCGTCTCTCGATGTTTGATATCACTACATTGACAAAACCATTTACTACCATACCCTGAAAAACACAAAAAATAACGTTCATCAATTTTTGGAATAATCAGAGATTTTGCGTTGGGATTTGATAATAAGTTTATATCACGGTTTTTTCCAACTTTCCTAATTAACAGAGAAAAAAATTATTAAAAAATATCTTGAATTAAGTTGAATCTAACTTAATTAATATTTTTTGGGGTATTTCACAGAAAAAAAAAAACATGTAAGGTTGTTAAAAGTTTGTTAAAATATTTTTGTAATTTAATGGGATTGTAAAGGGGTTTTCTTAATTTTTTATGTGTCATGGTATTGCTAATTTGAATATTTTTGTAACCTATTTATTTTTTGGTTTCAAATTACATAACAAAATAAACAGGGCATAGTGATGAGTTGTGCAGATTTTAAAACTGTCAAAATTACACAAGGTCACAACATGTTTACTTATACCCAGTCTGTCTCTGAGGGATAAGTTTTGTTTAGTTATATCAGTCAGGGCATTATGTTCTTTATTTTTAAACTAAATACGTGCTAAACACAGTCTTTGTTTGTTTCTACCATCAAATTGTGAAGCTAGTGCATATACTCCATTTCATTTCATTTTAGCTCAAGATGAATACAACTTCATTTCATTTCATTAGCTCTAGAAGAATACAACTCCATTTCATTTCATTAATGCAATAGAATATAACTCCATTTCATTTCATTAACTCAAGAAGAATACAACTCAATTTCATTTCCTTAACTCAAGAAGAATACAACTTCATTTCATTTCATTAGCTCTAGAAGAATACAACTCCATTTCATTTCATTAGCTCAAGATGAATACAACTTCATTTCATTTCATTAGCTCAAGATGAATACAACTTCATTTCATTTCATTAATGCAATAGAATACAACTTCATTTCATTTCATTAACCCAGTAGAATACAACTCCATTTCATTTCATTAGCCCAAGAAAAATACAACTTCATTTCATTACCTCAAGAAGAATACAACTCCATTTCATTTCATTAGCTCAAGATCAATACAACTTCATTTCATTTCATTAGCTCAAGATGAATACAACTTCATTTCATTTCATTAATGCAATAGAATATAACTCCATTTCATTTCATTAACTCAAGAAGAATACAACTTCATTTCATTTCATTAATGCAATAGAATATAACTCCATTTCATTTCATTAACTCAAGAAGAATACAACTCAATTTCATTTCCTTAACTCAAGAAGAATACAACTTCATTTCATTTCATTAGCTCTAGAAGAATACAACTCCATTTCATTTCATTAGCTCAAGATGAATACAACTTCATTTCATTTCATTAGCTCAAGATGAATACAACTTCATTTCATTTCATTAATGCAATAGAATACAACTTCATTTCATTTCATTAGCTCAAGATGAATACAACTTCATTTCATTTCATTAGCCCAAGAAAAATACAACTTCATTTCATTACCTCAAGAAGAATACAACTCCATTTCAATTCATTAGCCACATTTAAAAATAAAGAGAATTGTAACTTCATTTCATTTCATTAAAGATTAATGACAAATGTACAGATAGTAAGACAAACAGGTTGACTTTGTTTCAATTCATTAAAAATATCATAAAAAAAATCAAGTTATCTTGAAGAGAGCTCTTCATTCCTTGACATTATCACCCAAAAACTCAAAGATTATCATATGACTGCCACTTTAAATCTTCATTAAAAAATCCTTCTTATCTGTGTAGAGTAATTCTAGCAGAACATATCATCATTATTACTAATATCAGCTGATTTAAAGAGGCACTTCCAATTTTCTTTTACAATTTTCCATCTCAAAATTCTGAATATAGCTTGTTAATATCAAAGATTCACAAAAAGATGGAACCCATACTTGGACAAAGAAAATATCTTGGACAAATTTTGGAGATTCAAAATGAATGCATCAGTGTAACAAATATATACACCAAGAATATCACAAAAATTTTCCTCATTGTGTACTGCATGGTCTCATTTTATCTGTTCACCTTAATGCACTAATCAGAATGTACATTTTTTTTACATGTTTTTTTCAAACACACATGAAAATATTATATAATTTAAAAGATAAAAATCTTGGAATTTGAGAAGCTAAAAATATCCCAGGTATGCTATGCTTAAAACATTCATTAATTCTCTAAGAGTACAGTATAGTGCTTAAGCTTTCATTGAATAGCAGAATAACTAGATGTAATATTTTCATTTTGAAAAGTACTACAGATAGCTTTCACTTTAATAGCAGTGATCTGAATTTTTTAAAATGAAACAAAAGCAACCCTGCCTCTTTAAGTGCAGTAATCTGTTTAAAGGAGATAGAGAGAAAACTGTAATTCATGTATTAAGATAAGAACAAGATTCAGTCAGAGACCAAATAGTTATCTTTATTACAAACTTTTACAACTTGGCCTATAAATATACATTTCTAAAGGGATACCATCAACTAATGCTATGAAATTCATATCTTTTCAAAATAAACTACAACTTCAAAATAGAACTTCACAACATTTCAAAATAGAACTTCACAACATTTCAAAATAGAACTTCACAACATTTCAAAATAGAACTTCAAAATAGAACTTAAAATAGAACTTCACAACATTTCAAAATAGAACTTCACAACATTTCAAAATAGAACTTCACAACATTTCAAAATAGAACTTCACAACATTTCAAAATAGAACTTCACAACATTTCAAAATAGAACTTCACAACATTTCAAAATAGAACTTCACAACATTACAAAATAGAACTTCACAACATTTCAAAATAGAACTTCACAACATTTCAAAATAGAACTTCACAACATTTCAAAATACAACTTCACAACATTACAAAATAGAACTTCACAACATTTCAAAATACAACTTCACAACATTTCAAAATAGAACTTCGAAATAGAACTTCACAACATTTCAAAATAGAACTTCACAACATTTCAAAATAGAACTTCACAACATTACAAAATAGAACTTCAAAATAGAACTTAAAATAGAACTTCACAACATTTCAAAATAGAACTTCAAAATAGAACTTAAAATAGAACTTCACAACATTTCAAAATAGAACTTCACAACATTTCAAAATAGAACTTCACAACATTTCAAAATAGAACTTCACAACATTTCAAAATAGAACTTCACAACATTTCAAAATAGAACTTAACTCAAAATAGAAGTACATTCATTTTTCCAATCTGAATTTTCGAGATAAAGTTGGCAAATAATTTGAGGACAACATAACTTTAAATGCACCAACATACATGACGTCAACCAACATGGCCACAAATTGAAAATTAATGAATAGTAAAGTGAAATGTTGGATTCCCTGAGGCTTGAAATTATTTTAATTCTGTTCCATTCTGTCCAATTAAAATCAAATTCAATGTACATCTGCGTGAATAATTTTCCTCTCAAAGAGTTTAGAATGTGGCATTTCATTTTAAAAAAAAAAACAGAGGAGCTTTCATATAAAATGTTATTTGCCAATTTTGCAATAAAAAAATTTTATCCAATTAAATGTTATAGCCTACATTTCTGTAATGTCTTACACCATGCAGTGTTCTATGAGGGAAATTTTCTGAAGAATAGCATGAGTTCCAGTGTTTTTTTTTCCTGATAGTGGACTATCATTGCTTCCACTGGTAAAAGCAATTTATTTTTATTTAATCGCTGAAGAACCAAATTTCAAACTTTCATTCTAAAAAATGATTTTATGAGCTGGTAGAAAAAATTTAATTTAGAAAGATATCGGAAGTTAAAAATATAAATGAAATTTTTTTATGCCAAAGGGAACAGAATTTGTAAAATGAAAACAAATTGGTTAAAAAGTGAAAATCAGCTGTTTAAAAGACATAAACCTCTTAAAATCTGTCAAGAAAAATATGTCAGACATCAATGTTCAACACAGATTTAATCTTTTAAATCTAACATATTTTTTTTTACATCTTCAAATGTCTATAGCAGCTGTCGAAAGTCACCAAAATTTTCTCTGTACCCCCACTTCTAACAAATTTAAAAATATTAAAATTTTAGCCCCAAAATTAGTTTCAGAATGCACCAAATATAATTCATTTTTCAAAAATTCCTTAGGAAAGATGTCCAAGGCTGTCTTGATCATTTGGTGCTCCGATAGAGCTGCTGCAACCTTGACTATTGTCACCCCTTGTTCTCCCAGGAACTTACCCCCAAGTCTCAGAAGGCTGGCGCCACCACTGAACAGTACATAGTATTATCAGACTTTTAAAAAAAACTCTGGAACCTTAGACTTGATGGAATTGATAAAATATGAGTTATTTCTTAAAGTTCAAAAGATCTCCAGCACAAACCAAATCTATCAATTTAAAAAATCATAAATTTCAAGTCAAAATTTCAAAGTTGCAGACAACTGGAGTCGTAAATAAAAAGTTTTTTTATCTTTTGTTTATAAATATATTATCTTTTATTTGTAACAAGATGGTGATTTTTTTAGGTCAAATAAGATACATCAGCAAGAGAAAAACCTTAAAGGGACAGATGCGCCATTTTGAGAAGTCGTTTTGAGTCTTGAATATATATAAATAGTCTTCAGAAGTACTAGAAATGTTTAAAAATCATTTAATTCTTTCAAATATATCTCAAACTAGGAATTTCTTTTCCTATTTCTATAGATGTCTTTTCTCTATATGACAAAACACGAATAATTCTGGACACACATGGATTTGAAGGCTAACGTATGTTTGATCAAACAGATAGCGAACCTGTCCCTTTAAAGATGTTCTATCAAAGTATCCTTTTATCAAAGGCTAAAAAGGCGTTATACCAAGTAACAGCGTTATTCGAAATATCAGCGCTATTCCTGTATCTGGTCAAAGGCATCTAGAATAGTGTTAGGGCGTTCTGAACTCAGTTTCCTACTCAATCAATATGAGGTGGATGGTATTTCAAAATAAAGGTTACTTCGATTATACAATAGGGTGGTATACCTATCAGATACCAGATTGTTAGCATTGTTCATTG